CCCCCCTCCCCCCCCCCCCCGCGCCCCAATTTTTTGGTAACGAAAATGAGTGAAATAATATTTTTTTAAACAATGAGTGATTAAAAAAGAGGAAATTTTTTTCGATTTACGTATAATATTATTTTATGAAAGATTGTATAGTTGAATATAGAAGAGAGAACAATAAAATGTAATAGAATGTAATTTAATGGGGGCCAGGCTCAATGAAACTCAGAGGGACGTCGTGGGTGGAACGGAAACCGAGTCAGACAAAACTAAACGTCCTTTCGATAAAAAAAAAAACCAAATTAATTTCATATAAGTTAGAAAAGAAAAAATCATCAAAATTATATAAATTCGATTGCTACTTAATTGGCCAAAAACTTGTTTTAAGTATTTGTACCTTGAAATTCGAAATTTATTTTCAATTTCATATCAAATAGCTAAAGTAGAAAACAAATTCGTCGAATGTGACATTTCTAATGGAATTTAATGCTATCAAACAGACCCTAGTATCTATACAGCATTTTGCTAAGCTGTTGTGTGAAATTAATCTTTAAGAAGTAATTTTGTGAAATTTAATTCTATCGAAAAATGTATTGTTTGAAATAAAATAAATTAAAATAGAGAAAATTTATGGAGAAGTGTGAAAATAATTTTTTTAACAAAAAATATATATGATTGAAAAGAGTTTTTGGGAAAAAAAATAAGTTTTTACTTAGATGTAACCGAGGCATAACCCAGTGGTGCAAAACACAGGAGTGAGGTAGTCTCAACCTTATTGGCAGCCGTAGTGTAAGGGTTCGATTCTTGAGATATGAAATTGAACTCTTTGTGGATATCAGTGTACGAGCAAGCTCTTATTCGTTGGCCTGTTAGGGTACATCCCTCGATTTACCTCCCTCACGATACTTCAGGGACGAGGCAGTAGGAATCCTCAAGGTTGGGGTTCAACCTTATTATTATTATTATTATTATTATTTTATTTAGATATCATATAAGAAAGTTTAAACAAAAGAATTTTTATTAGTTAAAGTGAAAATTAAGTAAGTTATTTGTCTTCACGGTATGATGAAACTTGAAAGTAGAAAAGTAATTTTAAATTTTAATTTGGAAGATAAAATATTCAAATAAATGTAGAAAAAATTTTAATTAAAAATAAAGGGGACAACTGATTCGACGGCTCACAAGCTCGCAAGACGGCCCACGAAAGTCTGAGTTTGGGTAATCCGCGAGATGAGATTTGAGTCAAGCCGAGTCGAGCCTAGGTGCCTTTGCTTGTAGGCTCGAGGGTTATGCTTGTTCACAATGCCCACAAGTCAACTTGTGGTCCAAGACACCTAGATTTCATATAATTGGGTTCAAGCCTTAGAAAATGAGGAAGATCGTGAACACGTAAATTGTACTAATGTATTATGTATTTATTGCGATATTAATTTTTTCATTATAATCCTGTTAAATCGCGTAAAATAAAGGAAACAATATTTTCCAATAAATTCACACAAAAATAAGGAAATAATATTTTTTCAAAAAATAAAACCTAATTTGGATCACAAAATCTAACATTTATTGTAACTCTATCTCCACCTTCTTCGTGTCAATTAATTAATGTATTTGTTTTATCAATTTCTTTTTCTTTTTGTAAATTTCAAATTTAAAAGATGTGACGGTCTCAATGACCAATTTGACTAGACTCATCACTATGGACCCAAAATTTCGAGCTTATCTAAGATCCGAGCTTAGTGTATATGGCCATGAGTCAAATAACTTCTAAGTTTTTAAAGTTTATCCATATACTATTTTAGTATTCTTTCTCTCGAAGAACTTAAAATTCATTTCAAATTCTCAATAAGTTGATATCATTTCTTTTGTCATTTTCGATAAGATTAGATTAAGAGGTCTTATATTTTGAACAATTTATTTCACGTTTTCAACTTTAGTAATGAATGCATTCCATGAATCTAGTTAATGCTTAGTTGTATACCATTCTTGACTGACTAGTCTTATCAAATAATGTGACAAAATATTATTTTTGCCATTTGTGGCTTTAATAGAGTCCAATTAAGTAAGAAAGTGCTTAAAAAAAATTAAATTATTACTCCTTATTTGCTTATTGGGAAGTCGAACATATGAAGAAAAATGTTATTTTACTTTTTATATTACTTATGTCGTGATCGTCGTTTTTTTTTTTTTTTTTTTGACCTTTGCTTGACCACGCGGTGGAAGTAAACAATTTTTTATTTTAAATTTAATGTATAATAATGGAGATTTGCCATTGGTACCTGGCATTTGACACATCAGGTTACCCGGTGTCAGTGGGTGGTTGGACCCCACACATTTATTAGCGTGGACCCCGACCCTCCAATGTGAATAGCAGGTAATTCAAAGTGTCAAACTCCGGGTACCTGTAGCAGCTCTCATAATAATTCACCCCTCACTCAATCAGGGTGGAATAATGCAAAAGTAAAATAAAAATTACTTATTAGTTCAATTATCGTTGAGTCGTGCCTTTTTTTTACTCTACTTTATTATAATGTTAGCCACTTAGCCCTTGTTTGAGCCCCATTTATGAGGAGAAAATAAATTTTTGAATAATGTATTGATGAGAGATGTATGGTTAAAAAATAAGTAAAAGTTTTGGATTTACGTGTAATATTATTTTATTAAAGAATGTGTTGTTGAAATGAGGTCAAAACACTTTTAAAAATGTATTTTCCTGAAAAGAATGGGGCTCAAATAAGGGCTAATGTAAAGAGTTTTTTGGAACATAATTTCAAAAGTTAACTCTTTAAAATATAGATTATTTTATATTTAAAAAGTTTCTTGAAAATACAGTTATCTTTCTTAAAAACAGAGCATTTTATATTTAGAAAATATTTTGGAAATACTCTTATAATTGGGCAACGTTTTTGTGAGTCAACAGTCGAGGGAGTTGAAACTAAAACCACCGTTCATACGAAAATTGCACTAGCAGTCCATAATCTGTTGTATAAATAGCAAGTTGATCCTAAATTTTTATTGATGTTTTACAATCAAACTATACTAACCAAAACCGTTTATATATTTGTTAAATCTATCACGTGACTTTCACATGTACAATTTTATTGGGTTAGATTTTGTTTTCCCAATTTAGATTGGTAACTATAATTTTAAAGTGAGATGATTTTGCAAGAGCAAAATAATGTTTCCTTGGAGACAAATTTTGACATTAAAGATTGAATGGCGCAACTAAAATAAATAACGCTAAGTATCAGCGTGCTTATTTGAAAAGGCCAAGTGTCACCTAACTTCTCAAAAAATATGTTTAAAATCAATGCAATTTTCCCTCATTTTCAATTTGGTGAAATTTTATCATTCAACTTTGATATGATTATAGATCTAATCACCCATCTTATCAAGTTTGATTTGTTTGCAAATTTGATCATTAAATTAATTATCCCATAAATTTAACTAATATTATATAGTTAAAGTTGGGTAACTGATAATGGACCCGTTTGGGAGTGATTTTTTCTCCCAAAAAATTGATTTTTTGACCGTTATTTCACTATTCCAACTGTTATATTTGATTTCTTCTCTCACAAATGGGCCCCACTTTTCTCCTAACGGTCAAAAAATCAATTCTCAAAATCCCTCCAAAACAGGCTCAATATATTTACCCATAATGTATGATATACATATACACATACGTGTATACATGCAGGGGCGGAGCCAGAGGATGTCTTGTGCGGGCAAAATTTTAGGCATCGGCTACATTGATTTTTTTGACCAAAATTAGTTTATGAGCAAAAAACATTGCTCTGAGATTATTAATACAACTAATAGTTGATTAATCTAATTTTTTTTTATCTACTACATATTCCATTGATAACTCAAAATTTAAGATCTTCAGTTTAGATCTGCCAAAGCTTAGTAGATATGAGTTCAATCACTACAACATCTCCTCAGCCTCATAATAGATCAAGAATTTAATTTTTCATCATAATCGATTATATTAAACTAAATTACAAGAAAAATTACTTGAAATTTCCGATTTGCTTCAACATCCTCCTTCTATTCACTTATAGCAGAATCATCCTACATATAAAAACAAATGAAGTAATAAACTCAAATCGATAACTCAATCAAAAATTCTGTATATTGAAAATAAAATCCCAGAAAACAAATACAATTACCAAGTCATGAGAAGTACGAGTAAAGCCAAGGGGATCTAAAATGTCACGAATGGAATCGGAGGTGGAATTGTCTGTAAATTTCACAACCCATTTGCAGCTTGGTCTTGAGAAATACCGTGAAGTCAAATAGGGTTTGACATTGCTTGGACGTGTTTTGCAAATTGCAATTGATTTGTGAAATATTGCAATTAAACAATACAAACCCAGGAAGTGGATTGGGCCTAATTTTAAAAAGGTCGCCCAAAAGAAACCCCAAAAAAAAAAAAAAAAAAAACAACCGTGTTTCATCTTCCTACCATCTCCATTCTTCGGCGCCAGTGTGACTGTCGTTCAAGCTTCTTCCTCTCGGCGACTATAAATTTCAACTATGCTTCAAGCTTCTTTATATGTCAGTTCATGCTCTCTCCTTTTCTTCTTCATTTCCTAGTCGGCTGGTCCAGTGTGGCAGTGTAGGCATACTGGAGTTTCTTTTGTCAAACTCAAAATCCAATGCGGGCATCTGCCCGTAGTGGACTCCATATAGCTCCGCCCCTGTATACATGTATATATAGATAAATATTCTACTAAGTAATATGTTTATCATCCACTAAGTACTGATGATACGACGTATCAATCATTGGTGGATAAATCTACCATGACTCTCCATATTTGAGTTAAATTTATTATTCACCAATGGATTGGTGTGCTATGACGTCATCCGTGCTTAGGCCATCTCTAATTT